AAGGCTTCCATTACCCATTCTAATAACCCACGTCTGCGACTGCACTGCCTGGTAAATTCCAACGCTTGAATTGCAAGTGTTCTAATCAGCCGTTATTCCAAGACTCCACCACGTAACCTTCGCCTGCCTCGATCTCATCCCCCATGTTTGCCGTGCACCCATATTCGGAGTGGCACTTATTACCATCGTGATGACCTGTTGTGCAGCAGTGCCGTGGTAATAAAACCCCTCTGTGATAATAGGGAATCCTTCATCTTGTCACTGAATACCACCTGCATTTTTCTGCACGCACTGTATCAGTCTCTGAGTCTGTCCGTCTCTGCTGGATGTAATCCCCATGACATGTGGTCTGGTGATACATCAGCCCTCACAGTCAACCACTTAAGTTATCTCACCTCAGAGATGCTGCTCTATCTGCCGTCACGGTCGATGAGGCGGAGCCCCTCACTTTTAAACACATACTCTCTTATCTATCTCTGTACACAGTAAATCTTACTTTCGCTCCCTTTTTTTCTTATCTGCCCTTTCAGTCGGCCTACAGAGGATCTCCGGTCAGTATTCATAACGCTACTATATGGCTCTGTACAGGAAATGGTCAAGAATCCTATCTAGTCAGTAGTCTAGAAGATCATTTGTTCTTTGTGTGATGCTAATTTATTGGCCAGACATATTGGATCTAGTCAGACAGATTTAACCAGAGCTTAGGAAATTGGGTTTTTTTAATCCATATGTATGAGATTAGGCAGAAGATTAAGCGCATAAACCTGGAATATTAGGGAACTATTTATGACTTGCTGTGAGATATTTAAATATAGCATGTGATTTTCCTGTCAACACAGATCAAGCTGGTAAACATCAACTCCACAGACATCGTTGATGGACGACCAGCAATCGTACTAGGCCTGGTGTGGACCATCATCCTCTACTTCCAGGTAACATTGTTTTTTGCAACATAAGTTGTATCATTTTAAACCCAATATTGAGGATTTTTTAAAAAAAAAATACATTAGGATAAGAGGCAAATGAGATAAACCTCATACCCAGAGTCCCTTTATATTCTAACTTACTCAACTTAACTTCAGTCCATGTAACTCTGTAACAGGTAAATATTATACTACGGTTTTAATGCCTGAATCTAGTAGGAACAGTTTTATTTTCTTCCCCTTTTTAAGGTATAAAATTACTCAAACAGCTCTGCAGATACACGGTTATATTTACTCAACTCATTCAAATTCTCGATTCCTTCAGATTGAAGAGCTAACAATTAGCCTCCCAGCACTTCAGGGCAGTAGCACCTCCTCCATGGACAGCTCCACCAGCAGCACTGAGGCCACCAGCCCACCTGTCAAAAGAAAACTCCTCCCACCTCCGGGCGGAGCCAAAAGGGCATTATTGAAGTGGGTTCAGCGGACAACCACCAAGTATGTCAACTCTGTGTAACAAATGTGTAAGATTAACTGCTCTGCAAACAGATAATTATTTTTAGCCACACATTCTTTTTCATATGCTGTGATTTTTATTTTCAGATGTTTGGGATTTGAGGTGAAGGACTTTGGCCCTAGCTGGCGCACTGGCAAAGCATTCTTTGCAGTCATCCATTCCCTGCGGCCCGATCTCGCTGATGTGGAGCATGTGTCGAGGAGGTCTAACCGTGAAAATCTACAGGAAGCTTTTTTCCTGGCTGAGACCAAGTTAGGCATCCCACAGCTCCTTGACCCAGAAGGCAAACTCAGTTTTCTGAATCATTTACAGCAAACATTTCCTGAAAGAACTTCATAAAAACAGTTTTTTTTACCAGGTTTTGGGTCATATAACCACCCACCAGGTTTCATCTTATGGTGCTTTAGTGCTACCAATATAGAACATAAAATGATAAAACTCTGGGCGAAATAAAAAATGTTCAAAGCAGTGCTATCACAGGATCATGTGTCAGTGCCAGAATCACCAGCTGTGACCCTTCACGCCTGCCCCTCTGAATGAACTTTGACAAATCGAGCCTGACATCAGTGTAATTATCCTCCATTAGTCTGAGATTCAGCACCATGCACCCTGGAGTCCAGACTGGGTCTGATCGGAA